AAAGCCAAAACCTACCGTCTTTTAAATCACTTGCGGCAAATGGGAAATATGAGTGGTGGTGACAAAAACACCCACAAAAAGAGACGTAAATAGCATGGCTGAGCGAATGTAGGCTTGAGAAAGCCGGTTGCCTTGACCACATCATCACAATGCAAGTACACAACTGCTTTATTGAATACAGGCCCCATGGGCCAGAGGAAAAAGGAACATTGGTTCCACACGGGCATACCGTGCGCCCACAACAAAGGGCCTCCGACTTCACAAGCTTCTCCGCCACTCCTCGACGGCTCGAGCCAAAGCGAAAATGTAGCCTGCGAGGCAGGCATGTCTGCAAGGCTTCTTTTGTTAGCTTCAGTATACCTGTTGCGTTAAAGGAATACATCTCCCAGAAGGCTAAAGTGGCTAATAATGAATGAAAGCTAGCAGGTAGCAGTTTGCATGATCTTATTTTGCTATTTTGCTAAAGTCTTAGTGTTTTTGGGTTTAAAGTCTTGAAACACAGCAGAGTTCAGACTCTTAAATAATTTGTTTTGGTTTGAGCAACAAACTTTATAGACTTTGGGGGCTGTTTTTGTTTATGTATGTTTGCAGTTGCAGTAAAACCAATTTAGTGCACAAGGGTTTACAAATCAAGACAACTTTTACGCCTGTATTGACAGTTACGCTTGGAATGGTGACACTCCGACCAAATAATTAAAGAAAACAAATCAGCTTATTAAGCTTGACAAAGCCGACTTACTGTTCTTTGTTCTTTTTTAATTTGTATCATTTTTTGTACCGTTTTCATAACAGAAAAAAAAACTTTGCAGGATTGTAAACCCTATATGTCAGTAGTCTCCAACCCTGGTCCTGGAGATTGACCTTCCTGCAGAGCCTAGTTAGAACCACGATTTGCTACACCTGCTCCAGTTAATCAGAATTTTCCCAAGCCCCTGATTGGCTGGATCAGATATATTAGAGTTAAGTAATGGGCAGGGCAGCTTATTGGATACAGATTGGAACTAAGCTCTGCTGGACTGCTATACGGTAATAGTGCACTTGTGCTTTTGGGCCCAATCACACGTACGGTTCCTATAAAGCATTCATTCAAAACATTCCCCCCAAAGAAAATAGTCACAAATGATGTCACAAAGGACATCTGACACTGCCCCTCATAGACATTGCATCCAGAAATATTAACAACCACCTGGGAAACCATACCAACAGCCTAACAGCACCTTAGCAAGCACATAGGATACCATAGCAATGCCTTTGCAACACCTTAGCAACCACCTGGGACAGCATAGTATGGCCTAGCTATGCTAACAACTTAGCAAGTACCCGAGAGACCATAGCAACAGCTTTAAGAAGCCAACTTAAGTTTGTTCACAAAGGACATCTCCGACACCGCCCCTCATAGACATTATTAGCAAACACCTGGGAAACTATACCAACGGCTTAGCAGCACCTTAGCAAACATGAGATATCATAGCATGGCCTAGCAACACCATAGCAAGAACCTGGGATACCATAGCAACGGCTTTGACAAGCCAACTTAAAATTTGTTCACAAACTTTTCCCTTCCAGTTTATTTTAGCATTGCTATGATATCCCATGTGTGCCGCTAAGCCATTGGTATGGTTTCCCAGGTGGTTGCTAATATGCCATATGCAGAAGCTGGTCAGTTTACATGTTTTGTTGATTTTCTAAGTGAAAATAACATGTAAGTTAACACCTATGCACATTTTAATATGCAATTACTATTTATTTGCTAAATTCAGGGAAAAGTGGTATCGGTGCATCCCTAGTTTTAATACTCGTTAGCTTTAGAATGAATCATAAGATTGTCCGTCTCAAATAAAAATGAAAGGCAAAGCACACAATCCCCAAATGACCACACATTCCTCGTACTTACTCATGTGCAAGCTGTCCTCAAACTGAGAGGGAAAAAGACCAGCGAGAAGAACAAAACTCCAGAAGTGAGAGTGATTTATAAATTGACCACATCAGTCACTCTGGGTGTGGCCTCATAAAGCAAAGGGTTCCCCACTTTTTCTAACAGTGGTGGAGAGGGCTGGTAGACTGTAGCTAAAGAGATGGGACAGACTTGGTGGCACTGCAGGGATTTTCAGTGTCACCACAAGTTCCACTATAACAGCCCTTCAGTCAGCAAAATAAAAGTTCAATGGATTATCTAAGGTCGCCATTCAAAGAATTTATGGTAATGCTTTTTGCGTGTGCTCTTGTATGACTGGAGTGACTTGGAATGTAAATTGTGCAATGCTTAATGGGCTTTTTGCACAAATACACTGTACAAATACAGTGAGTGAGCATATATTGAATTATCATATACTTACTCAGTCATTTATTTGTCATTCGCAAACATGCACATATACTGCATATACAGTACTGTGCAGAACTTACCTTTTATTTCAGTTATTTAAGTCAGATTATGCACATATTAGCAACCACCTGGGAAACCATACCAACGGCCTTAGCAACACCTTAGCAACCACCTGGGACATCATAGCGTGACCTAGCAACACCTTAGCAAGAACCTGGGATACCATAGCAGCGGCTTCATTTTACTTATTTAATTTCAAGTCAGAACAGCCATTTAGTACAAGTTCATTTTACAGCTTCAGGAACGGGGATATTTTTCCACACCACCAAAGTTCAGTCTTAGAAGTTGGTTGCACTTTCACCTCTCATAATACAAGTAAGCCCAAACACATTCAGTTATGTTGAGGTTTGGACTCTGGGGAGGTCAGTCATCCTTCAGACCCATAACACTGAGTTGTCTTCTCACAGTGGAAGGATGGACAGAAACACCTGTGGATGTTTTCAGATCTGAAGCAGCTTGATTTTCTCCTCTCTCTGAAAGATGAAAGCTTTAAGTGCTGTTTATCTGATGGGGACAGTTTTGGTGTCTACCAGGTCTTCCAGGTGGTTATTAGGAGTCCCATTTTCTCTGTAGCTTCATTTTTTGAACTCCAGTTTTTGAAACTCCAGTTTTTTCACTGATTTTCTTTTATCTTTCTCCTTCCTTATGCAAGTGGAGTATCTTCTGTCTAATCTCCTCAGAAATGTATCCTAAAAAATTAATAACTTGTACTTAATAGCTGTTTTGACTGAACGTTAAATAAATGAAGGGTGGTCTTTGGCTTTGGCAAACTACTGTATATCCTAAATATAAATTATTTATAATATGTCATTTTAAAACTTTCTAAAGTTTAAGGAACTCTTGTGTAATGTAATCTAAAGATTCTTTATCAATAAGGTTGTTGTAGCATACATAAATTTGTTGTTATGAAATTCCACTCAATTCTAAACATAATTGCATATCGCTGCTATCGGAACAAAACCTCATATCTCCAAAATGCCAACTTTACAGGAGAAGGAAAAAACATACCTTACTTTTAATGTAAGTCAATGGAACCAGAGGTTTTAACAAGTCATTTTGGGCCGTTTCTGCTGGTCCATTAACCATGAAATTTACACACAATGTAAAGAGTAACAGGCATTTTTAATTTATGTCAAAAACTGAAAAATGACAAAATGGAGATACAAGGTTTTGTTCCAGCAGCAGTAATATGCTACAATAATGCTACCCAGTAATAAGAATGGCTTTACTTGCTGATAAAGGTATGTGAAATGAATGAATGCAATCCGCATTTTTAACCGTTTATAACGTGAATTAAGCGTTTACTAACTGCCACTATCTCATTCGAGCTGTCTGATTGGGGAGACCTGGCATACGCAACCAAACAGACTTTAGCACTAGAGCCAAAGGGCATGTTCCATTGGGGGATGCGGATGGAGGGGGGGCTCATCAATCTGAGATGAGTCTTCTGGCCCTCCTGTGCAGGGTGGTAAATGTGCAGAAGGGTAAAGTGGGATGGAACACCCCTCCTGGGAGATGGAGACTAGCCATATGGCCTACTGGCTGTGCCAGCTATGTTAGCATGGACAGGGACTCGAGCACTGTCACATAAAAAAAAACACTCCCATTACAGTTCATGCTGAGTTTCTCTGTGCATGTTGCTTCTACTTTAGGTTTTCTGTAATACATAGGTGTTTTACCTACCGCAGTTGAACTGATTAGGAATAGCTTTGCTAGCTACATTAGCGTTACGTAATTGATCTTTTCCATCATGGGAAATAGTAAAATGGAGAGGGTTGAACTGGAATGGACTGAAGATAAATCACAGGTTGGTACAAACTTTAGGAAGGTCACCTCAAGTTTAGAGTCTTTAGGAAGTTCAACCAGTCTCAAGCGTAAAGTTGCCACAAAGTGTTCTTTGCATGATGTAGAAGAACCACTTCTGGTCAGTGGATGATTCTTTAGTGAACCGCTTTTGTAAATGAGATCTGAGAATTTGAATAAACTTTTAAAGGTTTTAATTATGTTCACATAATGTAAAGCTTCTAAGAAGAATGTTCAAATTGGTATAGAACTTTTACATTATGTGAAGTTTCTTTAAACCACTGGTTTTCAATTCCAGTCCTGGGGGCTGACTGTCCAGCAGATTTCAACTATTCTATGCCCCCAACACAGCTGATCCAACTCACCAGCTAATTTTCAAGTTTTTCATGAGCTGGATTGCATAGTTTCAAAGTTTAGCCCAATAATTTAAACCTAAATTCAATAGAAAAGAGCTGAGGTCCATCCTTATTGGATAAGCCACAACTTTAAGCTTAAGTTGTCAGGCTAACTCAGAAATCCTGCTATGTGAAATACATTGACATTTATGGCACTTAACAGATGCTCTTATCCAGAGCAACTTACAATTTGATCATTTTACACAGGTAGGCGAAGGTAGTGTTAGGAGTCTTGCTCAAGGACTCTTACTGGTATAGTGTAGGATTCTTGCCTTGGTGGTGGGACTGAACCTCGGGCCACAGCATAGAAGGTAGAGGTGTTACCCACTACACTATACCAACTACTAATAAGTAGAAGAACCATTTGTGGCTCCTCTCTTTATGAGTGCACCTAAAAATTGCCTTATTCTTTGACAAACCTCTGCAGATGATGGAACAGCAGTTTTATGGTGTTATGGTTGGGTTTAGGGAGCTGATGGACCAGCTTCTTCAGCGCCTGGATCTTCTGCTTTTGCTCCTTCGTTTCTGCAAGAAAGAAAAGTTCAAAAGCATTACTCACCTCGATTTTAACCTCCATCTGACCCTTAATTTTCTCACACTTGCTTCAGTTCACAGCACTCCCAAAATCTATATATAAATAACAGATTGTTTTTCTTCTTCATAGCATTCAAATTGAAGGCATTAACATGTGAACAAGCTGTCTGGGTGGGAAATATATATATATATATATATATATATAGTGCAGTACTGTATCTATTGTTGCGAGTATTCATAGGAGTGAAAGACAGATGATCATCATCTCTGTGCTTGGTGGGCACACGCTATAGATCTCTGCACTGAGGCACTGAGTTGGTTAATGGCTCTTAAGAGCCATTGCGCTTGTAACACTAGCCCTAAGTGTTCACCTTTCGACCCCGCTACTCCTGGCATGTCAGATGGCCGGTGACCTCATGAAAAACTCCTGAGGGAGGCCAACCTGTGCACCATCCACGCTGTCCTAAACAAATGACAGCCCTTTGACCTTTTTCCTGAATCTGCCATGTGCTTAGCTTTCCTCTTACACCTCCAGAAGTAAGAGGATAATCATCTGAAAGAGGCTGTAAGTTGCACAGCCTGCAAAATGTTGAGTGTTAGGACTAATAACTGTTTGCAGTTTAATATCTAATATCACTCCAGTGTAAGTTTCGATCAGGGGACATGTGATCCCTCAGCAGATGTTTGGGAACAGCTTTTCCTTAATGAGAAGTGCATGTATGTGTGTACACAGGCATGCATAGCCACTTATGGCCAGGTCAGCCGTCTGCATCACGTTAGCTGTTTTCCAGCTTAGCGCAAACTTTTTTTCGACCATAAGGTGTTTCATTTATTTCATACTCCACAATGTATCATTTGTTAATCGTCATTGCGATACAGGCCTTTAGTAATAGTGATACTGCACAAGGCTGCAATATGCAAATGAAGCCTCTAACCAATCACAGTGCTGTTTGCTGTATGCTAATCACCAGATAAGTAATTCTGTGATTTTTTTTTTTTGTTTTTGTTTTTATATTCTATGTAGGTATGTTTAAGTTTAGTCTTAGCAGTTGGTCACATTGTCTGCTTCTTATAATCCAGGTAATCCCAAACACATTCAGTGATGTTGAGGTCTGGACAGTCAGTACATTGTTCTGAGAACACCAGCACCTTCCTTGCTTGATCTTCTCAGTGCATTGACCTTTATGGCTTCTTATCCAGAGTAACTTACAGTTTACACAGGCAGGCAAAGGTAGTGTTAGTCTGAGTCTTGCCCAGGGACTTTTATTGGTGTGGTGTATGGTGCTGGCCCAGGTGTGGGAATTGAACCCCAATCTGCAGCATAGAGGACAGAAGTGTTACCCACAAAACCAGGGGTCGGCAACCCAAATGTCAAGAAGAACCGTTTTGTCCCTTTCGGCAAAAATAACACCACCTTGGGAGCCAGAATACTTTATGTCCATTTCACCATTTTGGCTTTAAATATGTCGCAGTATGTTTTAATTGTTAGTATAGGCTAAAAAATATAATAACACTTACTTTGCTCTGCTGTAAGCTTTAGCTCAGCTATAGCCGCTTTTTCTCGCATCTCAGGCAGGAAACTTTTCCGCAAAAGTAGAACAGTTTCTTGTAAAATGTCTCTCAATGTTCGATTGAGACAATTCGAACAAGGCTCTGGCGAATGCGAAGCTGACTTCTTCTTTTAGTGTTTCTTGTTGCAGATTAAACGTATCAGGAAACCAGCTGAAGTGATTATGAATGCAAATTAGTCCATTAGTCTCCAAATTATGTCTTAAATCTCTCTCTCTGCCTTTTTGTTAACTACTAGCTAGGCGAGATTGTTGTCTGCGTTGCTATGGTGACCAGCAGTCTGCGCGCCAATCTTCAGGGTTAAAGCGTGAATTAGCAGTTATACATTAACTCAGTGTTTAAGACCATTTATTGTTAAAACTGTAGAACAATCAGCAGAACTTTATTTTACTGGAAAGGAGGATTATTTTATTTTTATCTACAAATCTGATTGTGCTGTGGAGCTGCAACAGAGCAGTAATCTTGCCGACCCCTGGACTAGACTATATCAAGTGTGTGTAGTGTGTAGTGTGCTTGGGGCCTGTAGAACATATACCTTCTCAAACATTTTCCAGAAGGTATTGCATGATGCATTAAAATTTGCCTTCAAAGAAAAGCAAACCAGCTACACATCCTTTCAGACTCATATCATCTTACAGTGGCGGATGAACAGAAACACTGTGGAACTTTCAGATCTGAAACAAGAGTGGAGCTTGATTTTCATAAATATTCAGACCTGTTTGACCTGAAAACACCTTGCAACTTTGCATGCACTTGTAAATGTACCTCAGTGATGGAGGGCCAGGCTAACGATATTCGTTCATGCTCTTCACTGCTTGTGCCATGGAAAGGAGCTGGCAGTGATCATGGCGTTGGTCTACTGTACTGCCCAGGATGCCCCCTGGGCACTAATGGAGCAGATGTCTGCGTGTATTCACCGTGCTGGCACGGCCGTGGCTAGCAGATGCCCCTGTCAGATGCCAGGTTTGCCAATTGAGCGCAGACAGGGAACATGTTCTAGGGCAGAGAGAGCAGACCTGACCCGCTGCTATAGGTGGCAGCAGCAAACCGGTTGGGTTTTGTAGTCTTCATCTACTAAATTAGGACTGCCATGATTACTTGATTGCTTGATTATAGTTATGAATTCAAATATACCTTCTCATAACAAACTTCAGCAACCATGCATATATTACAGTAAGAAAGAGAACCTGATGGACATGCATTTATATGCAATTTTGCCATATTTATAACGCTGCCGTCGGAATAAAACCTTATATCTTCATTTTTGTCGTTTTTCAGTTTTTGGCATAATTTGAAAATGCCTGTCATCCTTTACATTGTTTGTAAATTTTATGTTGAATGGACTAAAAGAAACTGCCCAAAATGACTTGGAAAAAATGTCTGGTTCCATTGACTCACATTAAAAGTAAAGCATGTTTTTTCCTTCTATTGTGAAGTTATCATTTTGGAGATACGAGGTTTGGCCCCGACAGCAGCGACGTATATGTTTTATAATTCCTTCCCTGTTTTTCCACTTACTCCAGATGTAATCCTTCAGCTAAGACATGTTTGGTGTCTAAATTTTGCTTTTTTAGCTTAGCTAAGAGGCTATTGTTGCTAACTAACACTAGAAGTCAATAGTCACCCAAATCTTTCCAGTGAGAACATGCCCAAAACTTCTGTCAGTCTGCTTAAACCACCTCCAGGTCTCCATTAAGGTTGCAAAGACATGTCAACATAGTTTATGATGTAGTACATTTACTGTTAGCTGTAAAAATAAAACGTATTTAACTGTGCAAACTTATTGAAGATCTTGAGTGTGTTGGGAGAAGTTTTGGGGATGCATTTACTGGAAAGATTTGGGTGACTATTGACTTCTAGTGTTTGTTAGCAATATTAGACTCATAACTCCAGCAATAAAGCAGAATTTTGACACTAAGTTTGTCTTGGTTGATCTGGGGTAAGTGGAAAATTAAGTAAATTGAATTTTTCACTTAACTGTTTCTTCAAAAACCCTTGGTTAGTTGAGAAATCAGTACGATATTTGGTAGATTACTCAATTTCTAATATAATCCATAGTGATTTGCTTTAGCACTGGAGCAATTGCCCCATATATAGGTCAGAAGATGCAAGTTACCTGATTAGGCTTGACAGTAAATGTTTCAACTAGTGCAGCGGCTGATATCAAAGCAGTGTGCAATCAGATCATCCTCGCCGTCTTGCTGCTATTATTTCCATCGTCATAACTTAAGTCATATTCTAATGCTAAAATAAAGGGGTTTAGACAATTGTGCCTTTAGCTGATCAGCACAGGCCCATGACACTCTTTTGGCTGTGACAACCGCATGGCAGTCGGCCTGTAAAATATTTAATCTAGTCATTATTGCTGGCATTATTGCTGTCATTAATTACTTTGCCTTTGGTGACGAGCATATTGGAGATGGTCCTTCGTTCTGCATTCTGGACAGATGGTGCGGACAGTGTCATTAATATATAACAGACTAAAAATGCCTGTGTCTAAATCGGCATGTGCTGATTCACCGTGCTAACCGTCGGGACGCAAAGTTCTCCCATGCTGATATTACGTGGAACGTCTGCAGGTATGCATTTGTGCTTTCTTAGCATCAAATCACTGCAAACAACCTGATTTCATCAATCTTTTCAAAAGCTCTCCTGCCTGTGAATCTAGGGAACCTAGCCACAGTTGACTTGTGCATGGAAAATGCATCATTAGTGCTAACAAGGCTGACGCGATCTGTAAGGGAACGCCATCCTTGGTTTGTTGGACGTGCTAAATAGACGCACGTTCAGTTCTAAACTGCGAATGTAATCCAATTACAAACAACTGAGACCCACTTTATTCAAATAAAGCTCGCTTCGCAGCCCAAGCTCATCTTCGGGCTTTTGTCTACTGACTTCCTTAAGCCCCGTCAAGGCAAATATTAGCACACTGCAAATAGTCCTGCAGGTTATGATTAAGATTTTAAATGTATCCCAATTGAATGCTTTGCTTTATGAATAACAAAGTCTTAGCGGATCGGCCGCTGTAATTTATTAAACATGAAAAACTCCTTGATGAAATATAGAGACTGGGAAGCGTTTTTATGCGCTTGAAACTCTTTCTGCACGCTAGCTTTGCATGCCAATGAGGCCACGCCAGAGAAATTAAGCAGTCTTCATAGAAGGTATCAATTCGGAGACCAGAGGGTTGGAGTCGTGGCACAGAGAGCGGAAAAAATCTGAACAATTGTTAGAAGCACTCACGCTCTGTGACATACTTACTGTCATATAGAGAGCTGTAGATTATAGATGGGGAAAGACTAAGGTTTAATGAATTCAGCACAAGGAGGAAAATGGTCTCACATTGGCAGTCAATGTGAATTCATCATGAGGCCGTATGGAATCACATGCTCCGATATTTGTGTTGCTATCTCCTGCAGTCA